TATATATATATATATATATATGTGTGTGTGTGTGTGTGTGTGTGTGTGTGTGTGTGTGTGTGTGTGTGTGTGTGTGTGTGTGTGTATATATATATATATATATATATGCAGTATTCACAATTAAAATATTAGAGGTGCCTGTAAAGCTCTTTAGTTGGGAAATTTTAACGGATATGTTGATTTAATAGAATCAAAGTGATTAAAGAAAACTTGTCAGTTTCACCAAAACTTTTGATGGAAGCGTAACAGGAAGGAAGTCTTCCGTATTTGGGTCTTCTGCCTGCCCAACCACTACTCAGCTGATTGTTGGGGAGGATGCCCAACCCCAAGGGTGTGTAGCATTCCTCCTGGCGCTGTTTCAAGAGGTGCTCAACGTCCTGGGCTACCTAAGTCCCTAGCAGAAAGCAAGCCAGGAAGCTGAGGAGCTTGCTGTCTTCTGGCCAATTTTGTTTTGGTTCTTCTGAAATACAGTGTTTAAAGTTTCTGGGCTGCTGCCAATTTTGCCTTTCTGACTTTTTTTCCTATTAGGAACAAAACCTCTAGAAATGTGAAATGTTCTTGGGATGGAAATTCTGGTTTTCACCCAGCTGTACTTAAAACCTCATCTGATATGTAGTGTTGTCAGAAACATGGTGCCCTCAATGCCAGGTTGAAGCAGCGGTCTGGTACTATTTTGGAAGAAAGAGAAATGCCTATTGGCTCATCACCAGGGATCGGGGTTTTCTGTTTCCCATGGAAAAATGACCTCCCCCCATGGGTTTACCTTTTTAACTGAGAAAAATGTGAATTTCTCATTTAAACAGAAAAACGCACAGATTTTGTACTTTTGCAAAGAGCTCTCTGCAGGCTGGCAGAGTTCCAGACTGCAAGGGGCTGGGGGGAGCGGGAGGAGGGCGGTCAAGCTGAGGGCGCCACATGCATGTGGAAGGCTATGGCTTGGGAGTGAGAGGCCTGGACCTGTGTCCTGGTGAACAAAGGGGGCAGGGGGAGCTCGAATTTTCCATGATAAAAAAAGCCCAACATCATATACCAAAATTTATAGGTATTTAGAATTTATTTTATGACAATGATTGAGACACTGCTGGGCTTCCAAATTGCTTTAAAATTTGTAAATATATCAATAAAACATTGTGGTCAGTTGATACGTATATATATAGTGGCATTTCATTTTAGTTGCAGATTTTGGGGGTTTTATTAGAGAATGTACGATTTTCTTTTAATCAGAGAATTTGCAGTTTTTTAAAGAGAGAAAGCCAGGATCCCTGCTCACCATGCCATTTGCTGTAGCACAAGGCTTTTCTTGCCTAAGTTTGTCAACCAGGTCATTTCTTATGAGAACCAAAAGAAGCTCAGCCTTCCTGTTACAACCTGCTCTTGCAATGAACTAACACTCTAATGTGTTTTTATGTACTTGTGCATTTTTCCTTTTTTTCAAAATGTAGTCCTTCAAGACAAAAGAAAATATCTAAGAGATTTACAGTTATGCTAAATATGTTCTTTCTTTTATAGCTGTCTCCATAATGAGGTACAGTGCATCATCTTTTGGATTTGCTGTAAGTACTTTTATAAATATGCTTTATAGCATTATGTTCCACTCTTTTTTGTTTCAACTGTGACCACTAGTATTCCTGTCTAAGTTCCTGGCCAATGAATGTGCCCAGGCATGGTAGAATAAAATCAGTGACTGATTAGAGAAATACTTGAGCAAATGTTATCTTAGAAATGATAAATACAAAATGTGATGGTCTGTTTTTATGGTCTCTTTTTGCTAGGAATTAATGTGCGGTAATATCTACGCATAGATCTTACACTGATAGATACTGTAGAAAAAACCAAGATGGATATACACCTGTATTTGGTTTCTGCAGTATATTCCGTCTTTATTCAGGTTTTGATCTGATGCCCAGAATTCATTTCTGAAACTTGATATGAAATCCTATCACCACTAAAGTCCATTGCAAAATTTCCATTGACTTCCATGGGGCCAGGATTATTATATTACTACATCTTATAATCAGCACTAGTTGTCAATAAGAAGGTAGACAATATTTTTTCAGGAGAGATTATCTGTAGAGCTAATTATTTCTAATTACATGGAAAGTAACTTGGAAGTCCAGCCTTTTTCATATTTTCACATAAATTTGAAAGTAGCAGTATTTCATAAAAATTTTGTTGTCTGCATCTGAATTATTGCAGTGATAGAGATCCATTTCTGAGCAGAGATACCACAACAAAAACGTGCAAAAAATATACAATAAAATCTCTCTTATCTGCTACTTAACCATTCCCGAATACTCTATTAACCAGAGTTTCTGGCCAGATGGCCAGATGTGGGGGTAAGGGGGGAAGCTCGCATGCAATGGCCACCACTCACCACCCTGTGCTGTCGTTGCTTCTTTGAATGTGGCCGCTACCACCCTCCCTTCCCTGCCCTCCCACGTCCCCCAGCTCCACGTTATCTGAAAACCGGGTTATTTCAGATAACCAGATTTTTTACGTAACTGGCAATCCCCTTACCCCAGGGATGCCAGATAACAGACATTTTACTGTATTTATGTTTTGAAAATGGGGGTACAGTTATTTTGCTGAAGATGAAGCATAAAGTAAAATTTAAAAATTTTATATTTGCAAAGTTGCCTTGCCAACTTTTCTTAAACAAAAACAAGAAATTAAAAGAAAAATGTATGGATTATTAGACTGCTTGAAAATAATGGTCATTCCTTTTAGAATTAGTGTGTTAAGGAATATATTAGTATTTTAGGTATTAATACTGATTACAAGATTGTTTTGGCCAGCAGTTCTTCACAATGGTGGATTACAGACATAAAGCTCTTAATTCCTTGATTGACTGGTTCAGGTCTAATGCACGCTAGTATATAATAATACACAGTAAAAAGCTGAAGTTCATTTTAATGAATGTAAATCCTGCTTTCATTAAAATGATTTTTTGGAGATGCTTTGTCCCCTGGAAGTGGTATTATAAATTCATTGCTGTAAGTACAGTATACTGTAATAGTCTAAAAAAGCAAATGACTTTATATCTCTTTCAGTTTGATGCTACCCTGGATGTTTTGTCATCAGCAATAGTACTGTGGCGTTACAGCAATGCAGCGGCTGTGCATTCTGCACACAGAGAATACATGTAAGTATATTTAATTCTTCTTAGCTTTGATAGGAGACTGAAGAGCTTTTGCAGTCAAACCATGATGCCTTAATTTCTAAGACACTGACAAAGACACATTCTAACATGCCAAATAAATATTAGTTCCTTATTTTCAGTCAATCTGTGGTCCTAAACTTTCATTCTGTGTTCAAACAAATCTCCCCTGTGATTTAGATTCTTGTTTTTATTCTTTTAAGAGGATAACAATAAAGGGTTTGTGCATTTCTTTCTGAACAATCAATATTACCATACATGATCTGTAACTGCACCCTGTGATGAATTCCTAAATATATTTACATTTCATCTTCTTGTCTCACACTGAGCTGAATGTCTGGTATTAGATGCTTGCATTATACTTGTGTTTCCCTTGGCAAAATTGAGGCCAGCTTTTTCAAAATGTTGAGTGCTTCTTGTTTTGTGAGGAGCACTGTCAGATCTCCTGGATCTTTTAAGAAGCTGATATAACTGGACATCTGACAAAATGAGGCCTGGGGTAGCCACAAGATAGTACATAGATAATTTGTTTAATATAGCAACTATGACCTACTCCAGTAGTCTTCAATACATGACATTTTGGGGGAAAAAAGTTTGTGGAAGGCTGAAGTGACCACTGATTCATAAAAGTCTGCACCCATTTAAACCATGACTAAGTTTAGCTCACTGAAATGGAGCAAAGCAAACTATTTTACACATGCAGTATTTTAGAACAGGGACATGTATGTGGTTTTTTTGGTGATTATTTGAAAATAGGAGAAAATGATTTTTGGTCAGATTAATTTTTTTTGTACATTTTTTTTTTTTAATCTCCATCTTCTCTTATCCTAAATGCCTTGAGCCTGTAGGAAAAGGAAAAAAGAAAGAAATTAAATTAACCTTTCAAAGGGCATTTTATCCCGCTGTAAATCACTCTTCAATTTCTTTTTCCCTTCCCATATGCTATGTATTCCCGTTGGTTTTTCATTGTCTCAAATGAAATTTGGCACAGGAAATCAGAGAGCCTGAGATCTTATTGCTTTTGAAATCTTCAGATGAAAAGTCTTAGATAGGAACTGAATATTTATTATTATTTGTCTCCAGGTATCATCTCCAGAAATATATGAATAAAATTAATTTTCCTGCACAAATTTGGACTTATTACCTATACTTTGTCTGCATGTCTTGGTTTTATGGGAATTCTTTGGGGTTCCTGTCAGCATTTAATTAACATATTTAAGCAGACCTCTTCTGCTGGATTATTCCACAGTGAATGTAGTGCACCTTATGAAGAGTTTTTATAAAATTGGTAAAGCCCAATTTAAAAAAAATAGAGCCACCACCTCATGATGGTCAAACTAGGGAAGTTAACAGCAAAATGGCTTACTTTTAATTTGCTTTCTGTAGCCCCTATTTTTAAAATAAAGCTGAATTAGTAGATGGACTCATTGGCCCTATCTTCTAGAGTGAGTTATCTAAAGTTATATAAAGGCAGCAGTATTAAACAAAAGAACGCGACCGTATCTTGAGGACTTTTTCATTGAGTGGGTAATCTAGTTACCTCTGTGCTTTCACACAATATCATCTATTTCTGGCAGAGAATCATTATATTCCAGCCATGTGGAGAGGCAGTCGCATCTGTAATTCACAAAGACAGTTCTTATGGTGCCAGGTTCTCCTGGGAGGAACATCTCTAATTTCCTGTTGTGCTTAATCAGCCTCTTGCTTGAAAGAATATGTGTGAAGTGTTTTTTCCTTCACTCTGGGAAGTGTTGTGTGACCCCTGCAGGCTGCTTACTGATCTTGTAAATCATCTTTGTATCACGCACATGTATAACTGCTTGTTCCTTGACAATTCAGAAAAGGAGTAGCAATTGTGTTGGGTTTTTTTCATGTTAATGGACAAATGGGGAAATTTGCATCCTGACTCATGCTAAGGTACCCTTCCTGATAGTTCATGTCCCTACCCTTTGAGGGACATTGGAAACTCATATTAGAGTTCAAGTCATGCTGCGTACTATCCATGTTTAAGCATGCCTAGTCATGCTTTCAGCATAGGGGCAACTTCCCTATGCTACACGTGTTTGACTGCTTTGGACTTTGGCTTTCTTACGCATACAGAGAGTCTGAAGTCAGCTGTGCTATTTATCTAAAGTAAGCACGATTGGGTTCCTTATGATGATACCTTTTTTAGTAGCTCCATCCATTCTTTTGTGATTGCCTGAACTAGGGTGTGCCAGGGAGCTGATCAAAAGTCTACTGGAATGAGTGGAAGCCTTCCTTCTGATTGACTTCCAGAAAGCCTGTGATATCATACGCAGGGAAAGTCTGTGGACTGTGTTAGCTGAATTCCCAACAAACGAATTGAACTCACTGAAGTTTGTATGCCTGAATCAAGACACAGAATTAGCACCTATGGAAGAAAATTGGACCTCTTCCCAACTGGAACCAGATTGAGGTGGTCTGTCTCTGATCCTATTCAACCTGGCACTGGAAAAAGGAATGAAGAGCATAAACAGCATGTGCATACAACTAACAGATGAAATACAGAAAATTGGGCTACAAGTGAACATGGATAAAACATAATATCTGCTGGGAAACAGGACAGTAGTAAATCAGGGGCTTCATGTAACAATAAGCAGCGTAAATTTTAAGCAGGTGCCCCACTTAAAGTATTTAGGTTCTATCGTAGCACAGTATGATAATATAAAGGAAGAATGGACGCCGGAAGTAGAGCCTACTTTGCAATACACAAGCTCCTGTCATCCAAGCTCATCCCAAGGAAAACTAAGTTTCAAGATTATAAAACCCATAGTCAGGCCATGTATAACCTATGGTAGTCAAATGTGGGTTTTCTCACAAGTGAACAAGCATTAGTAGATCTTTTAAAGGAAGATTTTACAGAAAATGTTTGGTGCACCGAATAATTCCCATAACACAAGAATGGTGCATAAGAACCAATAATGAGTTGCATCACTTGTGTAGAGATCCAACTCTGACATGGTAAATTCGAGTACAGTGACTACAGTGGCTGGACCACATTGAAAAAACAGAAGCAATCTGGACACCAGAGAAAGTGCTCCTCCAGGTGCCAGAGTGGAGAAGACCACCTGGGTGACCATGACCAAGGCGAAAATTGTTAGATGATGTAAGGTTAGACTTACAGAATTAGATGTGCACAACTACAGGATTAGGGCGCACAATGGATGGGAATGGATGAATATAGTAAAGGCAGCCAAGGACCTCTAGAACCAATGGTGCTATTTATTTATTTATTTATTTATTTATTATTGAGTTCATAGTAATAAATTATGAATCCAGAAGTCTAGAGTTTGAAATCCAGAAAGTCTAAAGTCCAGAAATATAGGCAGATAAGGCCAGATAAAAGCAAATTCTAGAAATGTTAATGCATTCTAGTTCAGACCATAAGGCTCCCCAGCAGACACAATGGGAACCTGGTATTTGAATTCTATTTACTGGGGCAGATTCTACTATCAGTTTAACCTGTGCAATATCAGTTTCCTTCAGTGTAGTTGCTATGTTTAAAACAAGCATTAGAATTTGAGTTTGGTTCAGAGGCTTTCTCATTTAAGTGCTTTTCCTTGTTATCTCTTTCCTACAATAGTCACTAACAGAAGACAAGAAAAATCTTTTCTAATAGCAGTTTGTTATGCAGATGAATAGAAATGGATACTGCACATCAGGGGCGATGCGTAGGGGGTGCATGCGGGTGAACGTGCACCACCTATGCGTGGCGGTGCACAGTGTCGGTGACAGCTGTGGGCAGTTGCCGCTTGCCACCCTGCTGCCGGCACTGCTGGCGGCATCTGCAGGCAGTTCCTGTTCACCCTGTGGTTGGTTGGTGCTCGCCACCCCTCCCACCGCACCGCTGACAGTGCCGGAGGCATCTGCAGGAGCTCCCCACTCTGCTGCTGGGCTCCTGCCGCCACTGCCGCAGCCATTCCCCCCCAGCTGCTGGGGGCATGCGCCGTTCATGCTGCACATAGAAACAGAAAATTGGGGTTGGGGGACCTCAGGAGATCATTCTAGTCTAATCCCCTGCTCAAAGCAGGACTATCTTCAACTAGATCATCTCAGCCAACGCTTTGTCTAGCCAGGTCTTAAAAACCTCTAAGGTTAGAGATTCCATAACCTCTTTGGGTAGCTTTATTACCCTCCTAATTGTCGGGCAACACGGAGCTGGGAAGCCAAGCTCGCGG